CAAGTGAAGAATTGATCATAGATGGTCTCTTTGCTATCAATAATGTACTTAGGTTATCTTGTAATTGTGCTTAGAAGAAGGGACCATCGGCTAATAAGTTTTTATTTTTGAATTTTTTTGTAGCTCTTTCGAGTAGTATTGAGCTGAAGGTACCTTAAGGACATTGTAAACCTTTCTTTGATTAACTCGTATACCCCTCTATAGGTTTTAACCCAAAAAAACTAAATAACATGCTAATAATAGACTATACAAAATTAACAAACATATAACATCAGGTAGTTATACTAAAATCAAAGATGCAGATACATGACAAGCATTTCAATGCCAAGTATTTGCTTCACACTAGCAATAGTTCATGATAACAATTGATAAAAATTCTCCAATTTTTTCCTAATGAATATCATTGATATTTGATCCATAAGAACACAGATGAAGACACGAGGAACTAAATACTTACAAGTGTAAATTCAATTGTAGCAATAGTATATGCTGAGCATCGCCTGCGTATTTCCTGAGTATTTATTGTATTTTCAATGTGTATCTTCAATGCATATTTTTTCATATTCAATGCATACTTTATAAATACATAATAAATATGCAGTAAAAATACAACCAAAATACAATAAATATGCAACAAAAAACTTAGCAAAAATGTAGTAAATAACATAGTGTTGCAAAGTTAACTTACTTGTTAGTGAACTTTTTAAAGCATTAATCTAGAAATAGTTTATTCTCATTACTCAGCATCTCCTTGCCCTTGTATTCTATTATTATCTTGCATATTGAGGCATTATTTGAACATCTTCAACACTAATTGGTTCAATTGTGGCAGGGATCGCTATTTTCTGCTTCATCCCATCCCTCCTTTTAAATATTAACAATTCCTCTTCTGGTTCATCAACAACTTTCTCTTTGCTGATGATAGGAAGAAAGATTGGTTCATCTGGGGCTTCCTACTTGATTTGGATTAGAGGAAGTATCCTCCCTTCAGTATGATGGGTTGCAAAAAGGATGAGGAGGAGAGAGTAGGCTGTTACTCAATATCAAATTTATAGTGAGCAATATGGTGGTTGAGCTTGTTATTAATTGATTATACTCTTTTAGCTAGATGTTCAAACCTTCTACTCAACCTACCTTCAAGTTAATGGAAGAACGGGGGGCGGGCTATGATGGGGAGAATGATATGTGTGGATGGGGAATTCTATTCTTACTGTTGTGTAGGGTATTTCCTAAGGGGAAGGTGTGTGGATGCCCAACAAATTATCTGCTTCCTCCTAGGTAACTCCAGGAGGGCATAAAAATTCTGCAAAGAATTTATTTATTAACAAATTCATATTCTTATTAGAGGTATTAATTGAAATTTGCTACATGAAAAATCTGTATACGTACATATGTTTCCTTTAAATTAATAATTAACTTAGAGTCCTTCTCGGAATTATATACAATATCATCGCCCCATCAAAGAAAACAGACCTTTAGTCAGGGTACATAGGGCATGAATTAAAATGTGCTCTAAGAACCAAATCTATATAAGATCAAATATCATTTTAGCAAATAAATGAGTAAAATGAAATAAAAATTATAATAATGATCTTAGTACTCAAAAGTAGCATATGCACAAAACTATTGATGTAACCAGCTGGCTTGTGTATTGAAAACTTTCTAGAGACTATTAAAATCTTCAACTAAAAATTCTCTAGTGGATCCCACCCAATTAATTGATAAAAACTCATCTATATTATTTGATATTGTATGGAGCCTCATAGGAGTTTGAAAGTTGTTAAATTGGAAAAATAAATTTGAACACAAATATATAATAAATATTTTTAACATATTGGAAGGGGGTTTATTTGTTCAACTACAGTATTTCAGTCTTTATTTTCTTTGATGAGACTCCTGAAGGTGTAGAGCTATGCTAGGAAATCTCTTCACTTCTATTTGGCAAATCAATAATAAGGGTCATTGCATTAACAATGAGCGGTATAGCATGACCCTTTATTATAAAACATTATATTGAAATATCTCACAGCCTGAGTAGCTCATAAATCAGTGGGACATTCTGCTCGAGAGTAGGGAATTTGAGAAATTTGTAGATATTTAATCTCTTCAAGGTTTCCTCCACATCACGGTGCATTTTCTCAACAAAAGAATAACAGATTATTCGAAAGGTTGAAACATAGCATCAAAAAGTAAGAGACCAAACATAGACCTAAAAAATTAAGGAAATAAATAAATAAAATAAGCAAAATAATAGTAGAAGATATGCAAAAAATAGGTAAAAGATACGCAGAAAATACTCAACAAATATGTAGAAAATATGCAAAAAATATGTAGAAGATATACTGAAAATACTTAGTAAATATGGATCAAATATGCAAATAATACTAATTAAGTATGTTATAAATACGTAGGGTTTAGGTTAAGTGTTTTATGTTTTAGGATTATGGTTTAGGGTTTAGAGTTTAGGGTTTTTTGCTTTTAGTGTTTATGGTTTGATGGTTTAGGGTTTAGTGTTTAGTGTTGGTGTTTAGGGTTTAGGATTTAAGGTTTAGGAATTAGGGATAGTGTTTAGGTTTTTTAGAGTTTATGGTTTAGAGTTTTTAGTTTAGGATTTTTAGGATTTAGTGTGTTTAGTGTTTATGGTTTTTAGGATTTATGGATAGAGTTTAGGTTTCTAGGGTTAGGATTTAAGAATAGTGTTTAGGGATTGCAAAAAAATACACAACAAATATGTAGAAATACACAACAAATCTATAGCAAAGATGCGAAAAATATGCAGAACCCTAACAAGCAGTAGCCATCATGTAGTTATAAAACACTAAATACTAAAAAGAGTTGAAAGGGAACAAGCTAAACTTAGAAATTTGTTAAGCAAGCAATAAAAACCATAACTAAAAAAGTAGCTCATACGTAGAAAATGCATAGATAATACCTAGAATCCTAACAAGCAGCAACTAACATGCATTTTAAAAGAAGACAAACCTAGACCCTAAAAAGAGATGAAATGGAACAAGCTAAAAACATAATTCTTTTAAGTGCACAACAAAAAAGCATTTCGAAGGCAGAAAATAGGCAGTTAACACTACAAAAAAAAGTACTAACCTTTTTTTGATGTTGAAGCCATTTGCGTAGATAAAAACTGATCGATTTCTGAAAGTTCCAAGGAGAACAACAAATGCTGGTGTTGTAAGTAGAGCATCAAACGACGAAGAAGAAAATTGAATATGCACTTGAAAAGTAAAAAAAAAAAAATCACCATTTTCACTTTTTTACGTGGACTCTAGGATGGTCAAACTGGTTGACAAGAAAGAAAAAAAGTCGGGCCGATCGCGGTGACATGCTAGCTACAATCTCTCTGCCTCAACGAGAGCAATCCATGCGTCACGATTTTATTGGTGTCTGGACGCAGAGCTATTTTTGGACTCTGCACAGAATAATTTTTCTGCCCCCACAAAATGCATGAACTACAGAGGTCTCAATGGCAGGCTCTCAAATAATTAATTATAGTAAGAAAGTATTTAATTTAAATTTTTTACTAAAATTATTTTTGAAAAAAATTGTCTCAAATGAAACCTCAGTTGCATATAATCTATTATAAGTTTAGGTGTAGTTTCATATCCAGTAAAAATTAGTTGTACAATTATTTTATAATTGTTAATATTATTACATCTAATTCATCTTTTTTTATAAATTGATGTTTAATTAAATAAAATCACTTACTCATTCCTTCAACAATATGTAAAAGAGAGCATAAAAAGAAAAAGAATTCTTACTTAATAAAAAACTTGATCCTTAATGTAGAATGAATTGTACATAAAGCAATAAATTTTAGGTGCATTTACATACATATTATTTTATATAATACTATTTTGCATATCGAACAACTACAATTTCAATATTTTATACCTATAATCCATAGAACATATTAAAGTTTATAGCATGATATGAATGGTAGGAATGAAATATAGGAGTTTCATATTTGATATTAAAGTTATCTATATATAGCAGGCATACAATATTAAAATTTAGATATTAGATATATATAAATAGCATGATATACATTCCCAATTCACATAATTATAATTATAAGTTGATTGTTCCATCTATTACATAGTGCTAATAAAATTTAGAATCAATCATAATTGAACTAAATATCGTGATATAATCCTAATTATGATTTTTTACTTATTTATGTTTTATGGCCAAAGTCACCAAAATAGATTTATATTTTAATGAAAATTAAATACATCTTATTTTATAAATATAGTTTTTTTTATTTGAACTAAATGAAATAATTAGAAAAATTATTGCTAGAATATATTAAAACAAATTATATTAAAATAAGCTTGAAAATTATTAAATAGGTTTCGAGATTACAATTATATATGAAATATTTTTATTTTTTTTATTTTTTAAAGAGCACTGATATCTAATCAATTTAGATGATTTTTTTTAAAAAGAGTAAAAGAGAGAGTCCTCAAACTAATTTAATCATATTTAAGTTAATCACAGCCGTCCATCAGGTGAAAGGGATTTACCACAAGCTGCCCGTCCTTTAAATAACGCATCATCCTGGCTATTTCGCTCAGTCCCGCTTCGTCGTCGTCTTCTTCTTCTTCTCTTCTCGTCTCGTTCTTAAAGCTCGTGCTGTCTCTGACGGAACAGAAGTCTCATTAGGTTTTTCTAGATAAAGAAGGTACTATCTTTTCTCTCACACAATGTCCGAATCTGAAGCTATTTTACCGGACGGGTTCCCAGCCGGATTGCGAGTTTTCGTGCTCGACGAGGACTCCTTCGCTCTTAGGATGCTTGAGAAAATGCTTCTTCAGTGCGGCTATGAAGGTGTGTTTTTCTTAATCAGATCTGGAGATTTTGCAGGGTGTCTCTAGGATTCTAGGGTTTTTTTGTTTCATGAAAATTTTTAGGGTTTTGACAACGCCTTTTCCTTTGTTCTTTTCAGGCTCTGTTTCTTCTCAGCAACATTGTTATGAATGGTATTATGATTTCAATTCAAAATTATTTAATGGCATTTCTTAGAGAATCATATTAAGTAATACCGATGGAAATTAAGAATTTTTTTCCTTTCAGTTCTCTGTTTTTCGTTTTATGATTTACAAAATTTTTAGGGTTTTAACTTTGTAGCTTTTTTTTTCTAAGTAACATAATTCATAATCAAATTATTTGAAAAATGATTTAGAATATCATAGTTCTGTATTTTTTTTTCTGTTCTAACTTTTCAAGATGCATGGATGCTAGAATAATAAATTGCAACCTTGAAATTTTTTGAAATTTAAAGGGCTGTTTTTGAACCAGATATAAATTATATGGTTTTATTTGCTGTGCTGTTAGTCCCTTTTTTTATAAGAGAATTAATCTTAACACTTTATTTAAGATTGTTATTACTTTTTTTTTTTCTGTTGCGTAAATTGAGAAAGAAAGGAATTATAATGTAAAGGTTTTTAGTTTGTAGTGCATATTGGCAAATATTTATAAAATTTTTATTATATATTGCTTAGTTATTATATTTTTCATATGAATTATTTTACAGTCACTATATCTGATTGTCCACTTCAAGCCTTGGAGCTATTGAGAGCAAAGATAGGAAATTACGACATAGTGCTCATTGATGTTAATTTGACATGCATTGATGGATTTGAATTAGTAGAGAATGTGAGCCGTGAAATAAGTTTGCCTATAATTGGTATGTTAAAGTTTTCTACAAAAAATATTAAATTATTTTATTTATCAATTACTTTTTTTTTAAACGTGGTTAAATTTATATGCAGTGCTGTCAGCTTATTCTGATTTTCAAAATGTCATGAAAGTATAAACTATGGTGCAATTGACTATCTTGTCAAACCTGTGCGTCTTGAAGAATTGAAACTAATTTGGAAAGCATGTAGTAAAAAATATCTTAATGAAATGAAGAGCATTAATGAATCAAGTTCAATGGAAGTTAACATTTCACGTCTAACAAAAAAATCCAAAGATCTTGTGAGGAAAAGAGATGAAGATGACGATATTGCTTTAAAAGATAATTTTGCCTTCACAAAAAAGAGCTAGAGTTTCTTGGACCCCAGAGCTTCATGCAAAATTTATCAATGCTGTTAATCAATTAGGCATAGACAGTAAGTGTCTTTACTTAATAACTCTTTTTATATAGTTTTCACTTTTTATTTTCTTGATCTTAAAATAATAATATTTTTCAGAGGCAGTTCCAACTAAAATACTTGATATCATGGGCATACCAGACTTACAAGGAAAATGTTGGCCAAGCCATTTACAGGTTTGCTCAATAAACTAGCCTTAATATTATGAATTATATGATTGCATATTTTTTCATTGTTGAATGATTTTTATTTCAAATTATTTGGTTATCATTAATGAACTTTTTTGTAAAGATTATTTACTCATTCATAATCTAATATAAATAAATAAAATTGTTTTCTTTTGTGTTATACAGAAGTACAGAAAAGGCTTGAAAAGAAATACAATTGAGCTTAATCAACAAATTTTTGATAATGCTAAAGCAAGAGAAAGTGAAAGTTGGTTCTCTCCTCATATGACATATCAAAATAATTTTTGCCAACAATCTATGATTAATTTGCTTGAAAATCAATTCGAATCTCAACAATTCGTTTTAAACAATGATCTTAATGATAACAATAATTTTGATGAGCTTGCAACATTATTAGCACGTAAGTATTTGAAGATTTAAAATTTACTTATTATTGAATTTTTTTTTTTAATTTGTGATATTTTCATAATATTTTGTTTATGACAATGAATTCATGCAGTTGAACAAAAACAATCGCAAAATAGTTCCGACTCAGGTGCACAAATCAACACGGATTCAGTTGATGTTCAAAGTTATAGTTTGGAAGATCATGGGGGAAGCAATGCTTCGAATTTGGCAATCCTATCTGAGTTTGGCAATATGGATGACACAGATGAGCTTTATGTAGCACTTTGCCAGGTAAATAATTTTTCTTATGAAGTAGGTAGGTGAAATATGTCTACATATTTTGACATTTTTCTAATTGTTAAACATTTCAGTTTCAATACTAAGATCACTGCAAGGGCTCTTGAAGGTGCTTTTAATTGTTGAGGTATCTTCCTTTTCGTCTCAAAATGATCTTATTTCTAATTGGGAATTTAGTTTTATATTTTAAAACATTTTAAGTTTACCATATGCTAATATATTATTCTTTTTTACATTCTGAATAGGAAAATCTCGATTCATACCCTGCTCTAAGCTTTGTAGATTGTTGTTCTGTGCATCTTTCTCCATCATGGCCAAGTTTAATGGAGTCATTTCAAAAGTTGGAGCTTGTGGAGTCAATTCATAATTTGTTTCTTAGTTGCCAATTCAATTCTGTAATTTTGCTTCTTTCATTGCATGTTATTGTTGTTTAGAGGTTATGAAAAAAAAATTGTGATGTACATCTCAATGTCACTTTTTTTAATAAATAAATGAAATATAAGCCATGCATATGCATGTTTGTTTGCATAATTCTATACTGTGTTGATATTCTTAATTCTCCCACGGTTTACTACCCATTTTTGTAGAGAGAGAGAGACAACCAGGACAAAGGATCCTCTGTTACTGTATGAACAAATTAATAGATTAAAAGACTGCTAAATTAAAATGATTTTTCAAAAGAATGGGAGAATGTTGTGGAAAAATAGAGAAAACAAAATCCCTTCCACAGCACAGTTTCAAGCGTTTTAACTGTTTCGAATTATCTGATTCTACAAGGAGTGTTTTTGTTCTTGGTTCTTTGGTATAGGTAATGCCAAAATGGGCTGTTTGGCTGGGCATATTGATTTAATCTGGACAGTCGGATTGTTCAAAACTTTATCGATTATTATTTTGTTTAAATTTAAAATTATTTGGGAAGGTATTTTTGGTTGTATTTTTAGTGATGGGTACTATTACTAATAAAAGTTGATGTTCATTTGAAAAACAAAATATCTTCTTTAAATGTTTAAGGCTCCATTTGGCACTGCTTTTTTACCGATTTTAATCAACATTTATATTATCGCTAATAAAATGCTTATAGTCTCCTAGTACATCACATAAGCTTAGTTTGGGACAATATTCTCATTGCTTTTTAAAATAGTTTTTTAATAATTGTGATAGAAAGTTGCTTTAAGAAAGAAAAAAACTTTTTCCAAATGAAATCATAGTCATTGTAGTCTCACAGCATAATTCAAACTACTTCATATAGTTGATTTTTTAATAGTTAAGTGCTCGAGTTTTATTATATTTTTATATCAAATTATAGACAGTAAAAACATGTTGTCGCCATCTGAGAAGTATTCCAATAGTGAATCAAAACTCACTTTTCTTTTGCATTTTTATAGAACTAATTGCACAATCCACATTTGGATTGAGCTAACTAATAAAAATTAATCTGGCAAAATTTTAGTAGAATGAAAGTGGCCTTGGGAAGAAGAAGATTGCAGTAATTAAATTTTAATATTTTCTAAAACTTTAGTATAGCACATTATCTCTATTTATTGTATATATTTATCATATCTAAACACTTAACCTCAGAAGCTTTAATTCTCTTCTATCACAATAAAATAATAATATGTAATTTCTCTTATATCACAAGAAATAGGCTTATTTTTTACAAAGACAAAAGAAAAGGTCTTTCGTAGTTCTTTATGCAATACAAATTTAACCTTCAAATAGTTTCTTGCAGAAATAGTAAAGTAGAAAAAACATAAATCTTATTAATGTATAAGATCTAATAGTAGCAAAGGAGACTATGTATCAATTACTTCTCAACAATAAATGAATAAAGGCTAAACTAGGAAAACATTAGGTAAGGCCTCAAATTTTATGTAGGTTTTGATGATTACAAATACAAATATAAAGACAAAAAAAAAAAAAGACAAAGCTTACCAAACAAACTGATCAAAGTAGAATTGTATTTGATAGGATATAATATGTGTAAAATCATATGGGAGGAAAGTGCTTTGATTTGGCATATTACCATCCTCTTTCATTTGTTCAACCGGCTTGATTAATGCAGCGAAATCCTCTATCTTGATAAAAGCATGGTAAGTATCCATAGACAGACGAACACCTTCTAAAATCATCATCTGCATTATCTCTTGCGCTTCATCCATTCTATGTGCTTCACAAAGAGGAAGTACCATACAATTTTAAGTTTCCAATTCTTTCCGCAAACCTACCTCCATGATTTTGTTAATAGCTAAGTACTCGAGTTTTATTATAATTTTATATCAAATTATAGACAGTAAAAACATGTTGTCACCATCTGAGAAGTATTCCAATACTGAATCAAAAATCACTTTTCTTTTGCATCTGTAGAGAACTAATTGCAGTAATTAAATATTAATATTTTCTAACACTTTAGTATAGCACGTTATATGTAATTTCTCAGAAGCTTTAATTCTCTTCTATGACAATAAAATAATAATATGTAATTTCTCTTCTGTCTCAAAAAATAGGCTTAATTTTTACAAAGACAAAAAAGAAATGCCTTTTGACTTCATTTCACCATAAAATTCCTTAGCCTTCGGAATCCATCCTTATGCTGCCAATCCTTTAATCATTGTAATAAAATGCTGTAATGCACAGTGTTAGGAATAACACCTAATTTACTCATTTCCCACACATCTTTAGTGCACTTTTTGATTTACCCAATCTAATTTTTTTTTTTAAAATTTAGGAGGAAAGTGCTTCGATTTAACGTATTACCATCCTCCCTCATTTGTTCAACCAACTTGATTAATCCCGGGAAATCCTCTATCTTTAAAAGTGCATGGTAGGTATCCATAGACAGACAAACACCTCCTAAAATCATCATCTGTATTATCTCTTACGCTTCATCCATTCTATGTGCTTCACAAAGTGGAAGTACCATACAATTTTAAGTTTCCTATTCTTGTCGCAAACCTACCTCCATGATTTTGTTAAACAAGCTATATGCTTCTTTCATGCAATTTTCTCTTATCAATACCTAAATTATATATTTGCAAACCTTAAGGTTTGGAATCATCCAACCTCCTTTCTTCATCTCATCATAAAACCTTAGAGACTCAAAGAGATTTCCATGTTTTGCCAAGCAACTAATCATATAAGTGTAGGAAGAACTATCTAGTATGATGCAATATTTTGCAATTTATCTCCAAACTCTTTTTGCTTCAATCAAATTGACAAAAATATTACACCAGCCATCTAACATAATGTTGAATCCAACAGTTTCAAGAGGAAAAAAATTATTTCAAAAGAAGAAACTCTCCCGCTTCCTCAACATTCTTGTTTTTGCAAAGAACACGAAGAAGAGCATAAAATACATCCAAATTTGCTTTTACATTGAATTTTTCCAAAGCATAGAATGTTTTAATTGCTTTCCCAATCTCATATGCAGATACATACCTAATTTTCAAGGAAGAAGTGTAATTTTATTAGATATGATTAAAATGGTTCAATTTAGTGTATTCTTGTGCAAACTTTATATAAGCATTGATAAATTTTAACATGTCTTATATGGGGCAAAAGAAATTTGCATTCAAGATTTTCCCACACAACTTCCCTTTTGGTAGAACTGTATCGTTGAAGAAATTTTAAAATGGGTCCTCAGATGGTGAATGATAGAGATTTCCAAAAAAAAAAAAAATAAAAAAAATAAAAATATATATATATATATATATATATATATATGCAAGCAACAAGCGAGACCGCAGTGCTGGGAAAAGGAAGTATATGTTCTTCTTAGTAAGGAACTTATAATAATTTTTCTTCCACACTCTCCCTTTAAAGGGGTATTCCTTTACTAAGCTTCTCCTGTAAGAACTGCTGACTCTTCTGGAGTTCCTAACGGGGAGGTCCTGCGCTGTGGCTGCCGCTGACTAAGCTGAGTCTGGCTGAGTAGCTGAGCGTGACGCTGTGGGAGGTGCTGAAACTGCCTAAGGGCCTCTGCCCTATCCACTGGTCCTCTGAGTACTGTGTACCTCCCCTCTCCTTGGGTGGAGGTGCCCCTGAAAACTCGGCCGCTGAGGTTCTGCGCGAAGGCCTGACTCTAGCTTAGGAGACGAATCAGGTATGCTGTCCTGATAGGCTGGTAAGCCTTGGTTCAGTGCTTCTGAAAGGTCCGTATGGTGAACCTTAGGATATAGAGCTATGGGACCATCTATGTCTTCAGTAAGATCTTCAACTGCGTGCTGCTATGCAACTGTGGCTCGCACTGACAAACCAGGTTCCTCCATCTAAACTATGTAGTCTATGAGTGACTCTTCTGTGAGCCTCTGCCGGGTCACCACAAGCTCCCCCACTGACTCGTGTGCTCCGTTACTGACAATCTCTGCACAAACAACTGCTCCAGCTCTACGAAAGTCCTGACTGCAGTCTGTTGGGGAGGTCGGCCGTTACCAAGCAATACGCCACCCTGCCAAGCTGCGACTAACAACCTCAAACATCAGTGGATCACTTCCTCCTTATAATTGCAACAGATGGCTCGGTACTGAGCCACATGCTGCCTCGGGTCCCAAACCCGTCAAAAACTGCTTGAAAAACCTTAGGAGGGATTAAAACCCGGGGCGGTAAGCTGCCTGCTCGTACGCTACTGGGTAAGGAGCGCCCCCTACTGCTGACTCTCCAGTTCTTCCTGGAGAAATGGCCTGCTCGACCGTCGGCAATCAAATCTGGATCTGACCCGTCTTGACATCTGAGCTTGGCTGACTCTGAACTAAAGTAGTTAAGGAATAACGTGGCGTGTGCTGGGACTATCTCTCTGGACCCCCCCATGTCCACTCCCACGGGGTCTATCTGTAGCACGGGTACTACTGGCTGCTCTTCTGAGGTACTGTAGCTGCTACCTCTGTCACCTGAGGCATCGCCCCCCAGAGCGTCACTGTGCTTGTCATGGCTGCCATGGCTCTGGCCATCTCCGCCATCTGTGTCTGCAAGTGTTAGAACGGGTAGCATCCGTGTCAATCTACCTGGAATCACCCACCTCGGAGTCTTCCCTGTCGTCCCCCCCCCCTGCGTCGCTCGGGCTCTCTCTCATTCCGATACCATACGGGTAACTACTTCACAAATCGTGTGAAACTGCACCTCTTTCGGAATCAACTAGTGTGGTCATCATCATCCAAAAATGCTCATCGCCACGCCTCTATTACGGGCTCTTGAGAACCGTCCTTGAAGTACTGAGGTACTAAATCTGTCTTGAATCCGTACTGGCGATTGTCTGGGGTAGAAACGGACCATATCGTACGGCATCGGGACTGCCCAGACCCGGAGGAACTCCAATATCCATCTTGATCAACCGCCTCTCTGGCCTGCCTGTCTCGTGCCCAGTGGTATTGTTGACCTCATACTAAACTAACAGGGTCGGCAGGGGTGTTCGCCTGTCGACGTCTCCAAACCCACCTTCCTACGGCTGGG